AAGCAGGCTGAGCAATTAACCAAGAGTCATTCACAGTCACTACTATCTCTTTTTCCTCCCATATCATGGGGTACAATATTGTGGATCAGGAACATAAGTCCAGCATAACTCAGCCAAGATCACTTGCGGGAACATCATCAGCCATGTTTGTCTCCTCATCATTCTTTTCTACTTCTTTTTTCTTTGGCGCTCATCCGGTGCACCTCACCAGCCTTTCCAGCAGCCACCTGGCTCCATCAGCGTCCTGTGGAAAAACACAAACATGCCCTCTTCCCCATATCAATACAGGATCGGGGCCATTCCATTGTCCAGTTAAAGGATCCTTCCACCTGACTTGGGCGTAGGTATCCTGTGACAGAGGATGCCACATTCTATCTGCCATAGAGTGGTCATTTTTATCCAAATTCAAAAAGTTTAAAATGAAAAGAGTATGATGTAAAAGATTACTTGGTGTCTGGTGATATAACTCCCCATTTTTTATTTTTTGTAATTGTGCTTTTAAAGCACCATGTGCTCTTTCCACTATACCTTGTCCTTGTGGGTTATACGGTATCCCAGTTCTATGCTCAATGCCCAATTGCAAACAGAAACGTTGGAACCCGACTGGTATAGCCAGAGCCATTATCTGTTTTTATAACGTTAAGGATCCCAGCTATAGAAAAGCAAGTCAAGCAATGAGTTATAACATTTTTTGTGGCTTCCCCTATTTGCACTGTAGCCATAATAAAGCCAGAAAATGTACTTATTGTAACATGTACATACCTTTGCATACCAAAATCTGCAACATGAGTAATGTCCAGTTGGTTAGGTTTCAGCCCTCTAAGATTAACCCCATAATGAGGAACAATTTGTGTTTGAGGACAAGATGAGCATTGTCCTTTGCCAGCTAACATATCAAAATCTATGGGAATATTCTGTGCTCTATTAGTATTTGCTGTCACCTGGCACTGTTCCTCATACTCAGATTTCCACAACAGATAATCTCCCCCTGAAAGGCAAGCACATGGCATGTGTTTCCAATCTCCAGGAGGAAGCGCATCCATGGACAGGGATTCTAACGAAGCCTGAGTAAAAGGGGCAGTGGGACCATACTGAGAACAAGCAGTCTTTAGTTCCTTAAGCTGTTTAAAAGGCACAGGTGCATGAGACTACACCCTGTTGCCCTGCTGATCAACTTGCTCAGAAACTGGGAAGACCTGAAATCCATGCACTGACTCTCCTTTCTCTGCCATGGCCTCAATGGCCTGTTGTAATGGAGATTGAATGGTTCTGAGAGGGTACCAGATTCCTGCCAAAGGCTCCTGAGCCATGGAAATCATGGGAGGCTCAACAGCCTTCGGTGGCCTTGGAGGAGAAGGCTCTAATTCTACCATGATAGAGGGTGTTGGGGTGGTCTTAATTCTTTTCTCTTTGTTCTTTAACATTTCCTTCTTTACAGCGTCTAACTCTGTCCTTAATTGCTTAATTTCCCAGTGATCAGACAAAGCAATTATAGGTGGACACTTCTCCTGATCATACTCAACCGTCTCCTCTCCTAGGGCATACGAGGGGGTGCTCAGAGTTGCCAACATCACCAGGCTGGTGAGGAGTCTTCCTGGGCTAGGGAGCCTCTGCCTCCTATGATGCCCTCAGAAGCACATGGTCTTGCCACATTGTCCTGCTGACCAGGGGCCTTTCCCCAGCCACTGAAACCAGCCCACTGCTGACCTAGACCCCAAGTTGCCTGCTTTCCACAGTGGATGCCTGTGGTTGCTCCCACGCAGGGGCAAATCCAGGGGTTGGGGAGTGGTCACAGCCCAGAGGCCCACGCCTGTGGTTTCCAATTTTTTTCTCCTGTCCCTGCAGCAGAGGGCCCGTGTGAGCGAGCGGGAGCTGCGTTATCTGTGGGTCTTGGTGAGTCTCAATGCCACCGACTCAGTGTTGGACGTGCTGCTCGAGGACCACCCATCCTGGAAGTATCTGCAGGAGGTTCAGACCCTGCTGGAGAATGTTTATGAGAGCCTCAGGGTGAGCTGGGTGCACGTGTGTGAGTGTGTAGGTCTGACAGGTACAGTCAAGGACTATGGAGGGAAAGTTCTGACCTGTCTTGAGAGGAGACATGAGGGATGGGGGCACAGTCAAAACAAAGAAGGAAGACACTAGGATGAGCAATGAGCAGACGAACCAGGCTGTTGGGGCCAGGGTGGGGGGAGCGGAGGTGCGTGTGACCTTGTTTTAGTCTCTTTCTCTCTCTGCTTTTATTTTTTTAACTTCAGAGAGACTTTTATTATTATTTTGGAACCTGTTGAATTCAATCAGTGCTGCCTGCCGGAAGGCCAACTGATCTTGCTGGCTTGACCTTGTGTGGGTCTTGTGCAGGAGCCACAGTGGCAGTGAGTTCCCAAGTGCAATGGCCATGCCATGTCCAGAAGACAGCATTTCACAGCACTTATTTATTTAGTTTGGATTTTTATTTTATTTTATT